ATATAATGATTGTATAACATAACTGTGGAGAAATAAGATCAAAGTATTCCCATACTGGGAAAGTCTTTCTCTTTCTTGCTCAAAACTATCAAACTATCAAATAACCAAAACTCACCTTATAACAACCACACATTTTGAGGGATCCCATGGCTTTATATATCTGTCAAAATATCGCGCTAAGATTCAAACTGCTTCCTGAACCAGGTGGAAGCGAGGCTTCGTATTCTCTGTATTGGATCGGGGCGAACTACGAACATCAAATAGACCTCCCAGTCAAGCAAGGACTCAGTTGGAGGAAACTATTCTGCATAGCTATGTCCATCTCATCACCAGACCCAGATCCCAGCCCACTAACACCCTGCGACACGGAGCAACAGCCAGAGCTCCCAGCAGATGGAGTGCCAGCGCCTGTCACAATGGAGCAGCCAACGGCAATAGAAGTGGATGTGCCTATCATCGCACCGGAGCCTGAGCCCCTTACGTCTGACCTGGCGTCCGAGCCGGCCACCGAACCCGTGACAGAGGAAATACTAGTGGAGTCTGAGGGAATGGAGGAGTTCCCTGTCCACAACCTCACCGTAGGGAGTGCGTGCTGGACTAGGAGACTGATATGTTGATCCCACCCTCCCTCCCTCTTCTACCACCACCTCTAGTTCCAGCACTGTCTTTGTCACCTCCTGTCTACCCCATTGTTCATCCCTTACCTTCTCACTGCATCGGGGGTTCACCTGGGACATCCCATGAGCCATCCTCGACCGGGCTGGGGGATTCCCTGGCTCTGCCTCCGGCCACTGTCTCTGTTACTCCACCTCAGGCCGTCGCCCTAACTCCTCCGCCTTGGCTCCTCTGTCGACCATCCGGCCCACAATGCCACGGGCTCCCTTGACCTGCCAGCTCCGTCTGGGTCAGACCTCGCCCGCCTATCGTCATGGACTTGTGGGCCATCCGTTGCACTTCGGTCCTCCACCCCTGCGGCTCAGTCTGCCTCCGCCCTCCCTCAGGCTTCGCAACAGTCCTCAGTCACACCATTTACAACGCAGCCCTCCGGATCTTCAGCTCCATCTCGGGGGTTGTTGTGGCAGCTCCATTGCAGTAGTCGATGCCATCAGTGTCGTGCAGATCCGTCTACCCTCCGTCTGCACCCAGGGCTCCTTCTCCATCAGCGACGTCCTCATGGTGGCGTTAAACTCCGTACCACCATGGTTCCTCCCTCCGGCAACATCGCTGTGGGGAGCTGGGAATCACCCTATTATCACATTACTCTAACATAAGCTTCTACCACCTTCTGCTCCGCCCTGGTCACACCCATCATCACATCCCTGGTTTCTGCCATGGTTCCTCCCTGGCCTGTCCTTCCAAGACCTCCAAATACCAACCATTCGCCTGCTCCTCATCCGCTTCCTAAACTGCCTCCTCTCCCTTACCGCAGCACGAGGCCACGCCTTCTCGTATAATGTCACAAACTGATAGTTTAGTTTTCACTTTTCATGGACTTTTAGTTTGCTTGTCATTATTTCCTGTTGTCTTTGTTCACGTTTCCCGCCACTTGTTTGTTACCATGGATATGCATTAATCATCACAGTTGTTTGTATTTGAGTTTGTTATCTTTGTATACTTAAACTGAACATTTGCATAGAGTTGGGGGGTGTTGTACTGTCACAATTATAAAGGTCCAAAGATGAAGATGAGTCAAAGGTTCCAATGCGAATGCATTTAATAAAGAAATATGCTCTGATAATCCACTACGTAACAGCATGTCTACACTCAAACAATAACCCACAATAAACTGAGGAAACACAGGAACTTAATTAAAACAAAAATAAAATCTAAAATTAATTCACAAATATTCAATTTAAATCATATGCCAATATTATTCATTAAAAATAAATCTTTCCAAGACAAAAAAATGCAGGTCATGCCTAGATTATATAAAGTCATTAGAATGTATTTAACATGTTTATCTATTCTCTCCCCATTTGATAAACATATGGTGTCATGATTGCATCATCATTTCACATCAATGAATCTCTTATTAAAAATCATGAAGACTTTCATATTCATTTTTGTGCCTTTCAGTGTAAACCCAAACAAACAAATGTCCCCACAAGTATAGTAAAACCTGAGATCACCGGGGACCAGCCAGCGGTCCCCGGAAAACAGCTTTTAAATCATACTAAGTAATGTTTTTTGAAAATGTAAAAATGCAGAATGTTTCCTGTGATGGGTAGGTTTAGGGGTAAGGTTAATGTAAGAGGATAGAATATACAGTTTGTACAGTATAAAAATCATTACGTCTATGGAGAGTCCCCACAAAGATAGTCCAGACGTGTGTGTGTGTGTGTGTGTGTGTGTGTGTGTGTGTGTGTGTGTGTGTGTGTGTGTGTGTGTGTGTGTGTGTGTGTGTGTGTGTGTGTGTGTGTGTGTGTGTGTGTGTGTGTGTGTGTGTGTGTGTACGTGCGTGCGTGCGTGTGTGTGTCAAGTTAATCTACTCGCTTCACAAACAGTGCAGCACATGAAAATAGCACTTCGGGGGACTTTGGGGGATCACAATTATGTGGTTGAAACCGCAAATACAGAATGAAGCAAACCATAATGGAGTAGGCAATATAGCACAAAGGTCTTTGAGTGTAAATATCTGCACTCAACAAAACAATAATTAGTTTTAGGAATCTGTAGAGAGCAGAAAGATAAGGAAATGTAGGGCAATAAAAGGCATCTTGCAGAGGGATGATTATGTTATTGCTTGTTCTGCTGCACTAGCATCAATTACTGCCTTCCGCATATTTTCCCACAGGCTGAACCTGCTCCCACTGCTGCTGAGCAGCTGGTAAAGTGTAATCCATGTGGAAAAGAATGAGACAAACTTTCCCGTTAAAAGGGTTTTCTTTTTGTGCCCTCTAAAATGATGGCACGCATTAGTGCTCAAGTTTGTTTCCAGCTTTTATAGAATTGATAATTGTATAATAATAAGACAATACAAAATAGATAATTATATCATGTTTGCTTTGAATGTTTTAATTATTGAGTTTATATTATTATAGCTTATAATTATTTTATATTTAGTACAAATATCTTTTTATATTTCATTTTTTATGTTTTATTCCTGCACAACCCCATCTCTTTAGCAGGTGGTGCATGTTCGAAACAGCTTGCAATTACAGTAACAAGAATAGTATAATTTAAATGTAACATTCAAAACAGATATATGCAAGATAAATAGTTTTATATATTTCATTACACTAACAGTATACTTACCATTAAAGTATACTGTAACATTCAAAGCAAACATATGCACACACACATACATATATAGTACCGGGTTGGACCTCCTTTTGCCTTCAGAACTGCAGAGATTGAGACTCATCAGACTAGGCAACGTTTTTCCAATCTCCTGTTTCCCAATTTTGATGAGCCCAGTTTGAACTTCAGCAGATCGTCTTGACCATGTCTACATGCCTAAATGCACTGAGTTGCTGCCATGCAATTGGCTGATTAAATATTTACAATTACAAGTTGTGTTTTTAAGTTTAGCCCACATGTTACAATAGCTTTACTGTCATCTGCTGGTGAAGCGCTATAATGACATTACAAAAAGCTATATATAAAAAAGCAAACAACAGAGTCTACCATGTTCACAGAACCCCAAACCTTTATTTTCACCAAAGTTTTGCACACACAGAAATGAGAGGGGAAAAGACAAGTTTGGCAGCCGGAGACACTTCAAGCATATTTATAGAAGAGACAGTGATCTAAAAATAAAAAATAAATGAATCGAAATAAATTCATAATCATTCAGTGCATATTCTGCATCTGCCCATCACTTCACCTCTGGAGAGAAAGGACACAAATGCTCGGTCAACCTAACATGGACACACACACTTACAGTACACACTCACTCCAATCTCACCGAAATCAACCAAATAGAAAATAGTCACACGTCAAAGGCTGTAGTTGGGAGTATATGGGGATACATTCAGCTGGTAAAGATGTTACCTATTTTATCAAGCCAAAACACATGTCAGAACATTCGGGGAGATACAACTCCTTTAATTACACCGCTGCACTAATGAAGATGTCCTGCTAAAGACAGATGGCAAACATCAGCCTTGAGAGCCGAATGCCTGAATCAATGTGTGGGTGTGGAGCAGGCCACCAAATAGAGCAACAGGATAGGAACTGGCTGGTTATTCTTTCCTTTTCTTTTAATATAATGCAGGCGATATCAAGCTGTCTAGTCCAAAGGGTCCAGAAAGGGTGCAGTGTTTCCAATCGTCAGCTAACAAAAGAGTACGTTTGCAGATGTCGACATGCAGATGTTCATAACATTTCAAGAAGGGGATATTTCATTTCACAGAGGTTAAGCAAAGGAACTAAAATACAGAATTCCAAAAGAGACACTATGAACATGTTTTTATTTGTTTCAGTACTCATATCTCAAGCTATTTGGTCAGGAAAAAGTAGCTATGTCTTGATCATGCTGTATATAAACTTAAGTGGAATATATAATTATGAGTCTTGGGGTATGTTTGCTTTTTAAAATGTAAATCTATGTTGACCTGGGGCCTGAGCACTGAAGCTTTTTGCATTCTTCACAATTACACCAAACTTTACATCATTTAACACTGCAAACGTAAGCAAGCAGCTTTCTCACAACACCAAAAACCTTTCACATGATCAAACCAGACGTGCCTGAATCGAAGAAAAAAAAAAGAGTAACTGACTTACAATAATAATAAAAGAATTAACAATGTATCGTGTAGATTTGATACATTTGATTTGTTATCATTCAATCTGATAGATAGATAGATAGATAGATAGATAGATAGATAGATAGATAGATAGATAGATAGATAGATAGATAGATAGATAGATAGATAGATAGATAGATAGATAGATAGATAGATAGATAGAGATGGATAAAAAAAGATGTATTTACAAAATAATACTTGTGTCTTCCCATTACTCTATGAAATCAAGCAAGACCATTCAAACAGTATACGAGTGTGATACTAGTTGTTTTGACTGGTTTTGACCAGTGGTTGTGTGTGAGTGTGCGTGAGCAGGATAGGATGATAGGTTGGCTGATGAAGAGTATGAGGAGGAGGAGGAGAACTTCATGCTATTAGCTCTTCCCTCAGCTCCTTGTTCCTGCGGACAATTGCAGCATGTCGCTCCTGATAGGACCAAAACAGACACATAGTATCACATACTATAATTCTGGTCATTCATTTAAGAATACATTAGAATAATTAAAGGTACACTAACTTTTTTGTTGTTTAAAATTAACTAAATTGAAATGGGTCAATACATCAATACAAACATGTTTTTGTCTTACCCTGATTCACTATGGTTAGCCTATTATAAGCGTTTATATTTTAGACTGGGATGGCTTTCGTCAGAAATTGCGTACATATGTCACTCGCCCGTGCCGATCTCTTCATATTTGTGAATAGAGAAAAATCTTTGATGCATGTGTGGTGTGGGAGTGGCATAGGTTAGTTGTCACAGCGAGCGAAAAAGGTTGACATGAAGCAACTAAACCTCGGGGGAATCACCAGTTAAAAAAAACCCCAACAAACATCTCTAACAGAGTTCATTGTAAAGCATAACCTATTGTGAAGGGTCATTTCATTATGGTTGTTCTAGCGCTGTGCTGGAATTTATTTTCAAGGAAGTACCGTGTCTATTAATGGGTAAAGCTATGTCTTAAGCTAGTCAGACTGTCTAAACTGGTTATATCTCTGAAGCCTGTAGTGAATGTTTTATGAGCAGTCGGATAATCTCTCTCTCTCTCTCTTTTAAGTAATGAGAAAGAACCATATTCATCCGCACAGTCACGCTGAGCTGAAGCACAACCAAAACAATGTTCTTCCACAAAATAAAGAATTCAGGGCCAAGTTACATAGTGTACCTTTAACTAACAAACTAATTTATTATTATTATTATTAGATATAATGCAATAGTATAAAAAATAAGCAATTAACTTACTATATATATATATATATATATATATATTATTTTAAATACATTTATATATATATAGTGTGTGTAACGGTTTTGCTCACCTTCTCATGCAAGCGATCCATCATGGCTGCCAGATAAGCCTCCCGGTTTTCCTTGATCTGCTCCATCTTCAGGATGAGCTTTTCCTCTGCCATCTTGCTGAAGTTGCTGTTCTCCTCCATGGCTTTGAGCAGCACATCTCTCTCATGCTCACGTTTCTCAGCCAGAGCTTTGAGCACCTGAGCTTCCTGGGACTGTTGAGGAAAGTCATTATATACATGAGCATTCAAGCATTAAGGCATGGAATGGCATGCATTTCCTGAATCCTGAGGGTTAAATGGATTTCAAAGTGGTTGACCAATATTTATTGATGCATTTATTCATGTGCACTTGTCTGTGTTAATACAATTCTAAGCTTTATAGCTGCAGCTAAGTAAGCTTCTATACATTCAGTTCCACTCACCCTCCTGCGGTCCTCAGCAGCCTCCAGTTTCTTCTGGATATCTTCCAGTGACACATCCCGCTTCTTTGGAGGAGAGGTGATGCTGTGGGCCACATCTGACACAGGTGAGGGCGGTTTCAGGATCACCTCGAAGGCCTGGCCTGAGGCCCTTTTGTTTATGGGCTTTACTTCCATATCTACAAGACAATGACCAAAGGTTAAATGACCTCACTTAATAAAGCAGGCATAGATTCAATGAATGCATGTCGGTTCATTATGGAAGACCATTTCCTCCAAATAAGAAAAAAAAATGCTTTGGCAAATGATAATTCGAAAATAAAAAGTCATAATTACGACATACTAAGTCACAAATATGACAAAAAGTCTAATCTGACAAAAGTTGGAATTATGGCATCATAATAATGAGGACAAACTTAAAAATGATAATATAACTAAGATACTAAGTCATAATCATGAGATAAAGCCAAAATTGAGACATACTAAGTCATAATTATGCCAAGAAGTTAGAAATGATAACATAATTGTGAGATACTACTATTAAGTCAGAATTATAACGTTTTAATTATGAGAAGAAAGTTGAAATTAAGAGAATAAGGAGAAACTATGAGATAAAAATTGCAATTATGAAAATTATGAGATACTAAGTCATAATTATGAGATAAAAAGTCGAGTTGACATAAGTAGTCGATTATGAGAATATTAGTCGAAATGATTACACTAATTACTAATTAAGTAACAAAGTCATAATTATGACAAAATGTTCAATTTTGTCTTTTTATATCATAATTTAGACTTTTTGTCATTATTTCAACTTATCTCATAACTATGACTTAGAATGTAATAATTAAGACTGTTTATATCAATTTGACATTTTTTCAGCTTTTTATGTCATAATTGTGATTTACTAAAGGATGATTTTTTCTTCTGTGGTGCAAATGGACTTTCGATTAATTTATTTTTCATAAATTTAAGATTCTGATCAAGATATTATCAGCATTTTAATATGTTCTTATATTCATTTATCTATATTTATTTATTCTATAAACATCTTATATTCATTATGTCAAATGTATTATTTTTTTATTTATTATATAAAATATCATTACCACTTCACAACAAAGCCCCATCCGCTAATATTAACTAACAACATTGACTAAAAATGTACAATACATTTGTTACAGTAGTTATTAATCTTTTGTAATAAACATTTGGTAATACAAATACAACTGTTCATTGTTAAATCATGTTAGCTCAGGTAAAAGAGACAACTTTTGATTGTAATAATATTTTCGTAAATGCTGAAATTAACATAAAAAAAACAAAAAAAAACATTTAGAACTATTTTTCATTGTAAGTTCATGTTAACTAATGTAGATGACTAATGCTAACAAATGGAACCTTAAGGTAAAGTGATACCAAAATAGCATACAGCATGCATTTCATATATAGTATTATATTGCTTCAAATGAAAACTAATTTGTTCTCTCGCTTACCTTCAAACTCACAAACGAGGTTGTTGCGCGTCTGTGGGCTGAAGCATGAGCAAATGAGCGAGAGCATGGACAGCTCCTTCATCTTCTCTTTGTATGCTGGAACAACACAAAATTGGCCCCTTGTTAGTCGTACACACATCCACTATAGGCTAGTCAAGCACAAATGTGCTGAAGTTTACAGGCCGGAGCATATCGCCCGGTCTCTACAGCTCTTTAGAGGATTCAATTGGGGGCTATAACATACCCTACTTCATCTCTGAGTGTCTGTCTCTATGATGCTTCAACTGAGTGACTGATCGACATTGCTACTTTAGCTACATTAGCTCTTTTCAAAAGCTTATTATTATCATCATTACAGCTACGAACAATGAAAAAAGTAGATTCATCAGGAATTCAGTGAACAAAACATAAACATATGGGAAATTTCCCAACACTATTACTATATACACACTGAAAAAAAGTGTAGGATTTAAATTTTCACTCAGAAAATTGCTAGTAGATTTCACAAATGCAAAGAAATGGCAAGCAACACATTGAATTAAATTTGAAATTTCTTGTGAAACATACTTCAATAATCTTTGTTTCATTTACAACTTAAAAAACAACAACATTTTGTACAGCTTAGTCTTAGTGGATAAACACAATACTGAAATACAGAGTCTACTGAGAGACTTTTCTACGTTCAAACAAATGGAGCTGGCAGACTCATGAAAAATGCAGCAGGCAGGCACACTAATGACACTTCCCATTTCCTGCCCTATGTAGCGTTTTACAGATTACAAGCACATTAGCTAGAAAATTACAGTCAGACATCAATCAGACTAGGAGACAAGTATAAGAAAATAAAAGTAAATATGATAGTCATCAAGTAGTTCTAATCTAGGATGATCTACATATCCCATACTTTCAATGTCCAAATCACACGCAGGAGCAATTTCCTGCCAGGGTCAGATACTGGTGTCCAAAATAGTGTCAATACTTTATTGTCCGGTGCTGCAAAGGCCACCATGCAGCATCCCACTGCTGCAGGGCTGGCCGGTCTCCCAATCTACGTCTCCTCGGCCTCCTGCAACTCCCCAGCCATTCTTAACAATATCAACAAGCAGGCCCACGGTTCGGCAGCCTGATCAATGGATCCTGACAGAACAGCCCATGATAGATTCGGAAAGGCGACTTTACTGCTTCAGTAATTCTACAAGATACCCAGAGCCCGAAAAAAATGCAGAGTGAAATCCGCCCATGCCATCTGGTCATGAATAGCATGGACCAGACTCCACAACAAAATAGAGGCTGATTTTACTAGGGAAATAAACACAATAGATCATTTAGATTTGTATTGTTTAATCCATTTTATATACTAAAATGAGCAGAGCAATATCAATGTTGTTATAGCCTATTATAACAATGCACGTGATGAATGAGCCAGGCCTGTGTGTTATATCTCAAGGCGAGCCTTATTAGTCTGCTTTTAGTTTATATATGCATAAAGTGGCTATTTTAAAACATAAAATGGAGTGTGAATGAGAATCTGTCACCTTATCCTTGATGCCAGTTTATGACAGCACTCATACTTCATGACTATGAAACAAGGACGATGACATCCATAACAAAAAAGCTGCTCTAATTTTCATGATTACTCCATATAAAGCAAGTGTCGCTGGTTAAATGTGTCTTATTAAGGTAAACGCTCCATGAGGAGGTATGTGTGTGTGTTTTTATGGCTATATTGTCTGGGCAGCGTTTCTTGGGTGCGGTCTTTCTGCATTATGATGCGAGGCAGCAGGAGCAGGTGCGCCATCGCCAATCATCTTCCATACGTGTCACTATATTCAGAAATGTACGCAGTATGACATTTATTCTAATTCATAATGCAAGTTACATTCACTTCACTGAATATTCTCAACCATATTAATGGGGGAAATGCGAAACGTACCTTTAGTGGATGCCTCCGATAATGTAAACGTAGAGACTCTAGTCGCAGTTGCTTATAGTGCAATGTGATTTATGCACGAATACGCTATATATGAAAAATATTTAAATATAGCATTGTGTATATTCTATATAGATCGTACATGGTATAACGCTCAGTGGATCTTTTCATAGAGATACTCAGTCTCCATTGACGCGTTTACAAATGCAACAATGGATTAATATGGCAAGTAATGCGCAGCACGTACCGATAGCTGTTTTGGCCATGGTGTCCTTTCTTGAATCCGTGTTAATTTCCACAATGGTCGTGGTTTGTGCCAGTGGCGTTGAGAGCGGATGATGCTTAAGGCACTGAGTCAGCAGAGCACAATGAGGAGCGAGGAGAGATGTGAGGAATGGGAGCGGCTGACTTATGATCCAGTCCGCGCGCAAAAGCAGATTGGCCACCGGCAACACTTCACTTCACTGACGTGTGTGGGAGGAAAAAAATGGCCTGCATCTCATCGAGCGCTAGATGCAGTAACTATCGCGGTCAACTATATTTTTGCCATGTACTTGGATCAAATACACCATGAAATCAAAATCGACTATTCTTATTTTTCATGGAATATTGCAGTATTCTAAAAAAAATAAAAAAAATAATCCTTCACATCATTTTTTTTGTTTTGATATGCCACCGTAATCATTAATCAAAATAACTTCGCCTCCGTCTTGCAACGAAATCTCTTCTCCGATGACGTATTTACTGCCGCGGGGGCGGGTCTATGAAGGTAAATTAGTAGCAAAACTCGAGAGCATGTAGATGTGAATGTGAGAACTTGTACAATAAATATTCGTATGTGTATGTGAACAAAAATGTTTGCATTGTGTTCCCTTTCTAACCAAATGCTATAGTTGGATTGTAATCATAATGCAAAACCCAATACTTATCTAAAGAAATTTGTTAAAAAATAAAGAAGGAGTCTTTTAGAATATCTAAATGTATATCTAATATTTTTTTTTTTAAACGAATAAGATAGAGAAATCATGTCTTAAACAACAAAAGGAATCAAAAAGCCTTTCTATGTATTTATATAGGAAGCTATAGAGCTGGTAAGTCCCGCCCCTTCCGCTTACCCCGCTGGACCTCTAGGTTGAAAAATCGTCAATGCAAGTGAATGAGAGAAAATAATTATTTTCTAATCCCGTTTGAATTTTGCAATGAATGTGAACATATGTTGTCTGTGAATTTTTTATATAATTTTTCGTGTAAAGAATGCTACAATTTAGCGGGTAGAATTTTCATACGGTTAGACTTTGTGTGAGAGCACTTTGTGGACTACAACTCTTCGCTGCTTTCGACGCGTTTGATATACGTCACCACCACTAGCACACGGATCCCGCTAAACATGCCTGTGTCTTTGGTGCACTTCACCGCCTTCTTTCAGGGAGAGGACAAACTAGTTGAGCGTGGTGAAAACCACTTCATTTGTGGACATATGTCACATATGCGACGTGTAGTCTTTCTTGTTATGTCTATTCCACAACTGCTAGCCAAAGAATTAGGGATGCACGATATAGGATTTTGGCCGATATTCGATATGCCGATATTTTCAAAATAATTTTGCCCGATGCCGATACCGATATATTTGTATTTTTTTTTAAGTGCAAAAAAAAGCTTATTAAAGCTTCTATTAAAGTTCTCAGTCAAGAGCAGTGAATGATTTCCTCTGTGTTTTGTTGTTTTATTAACATTAATGGGATAGTTCTCCCAAAAATTTAAATTGTCATCATTTACTCTCTCAAGTTTCTTTCTTCTGTTGAAAATAAAATTTATTTGGAAGAATGTGGCTAACCAAACAGTTCCTGTACTCCAGTGACTTCCATAGTATATTTAAGCACAAGAAATAAATGAATACAGGTTTGTGATAAAAAATGATAGAATTTTTATTTCTGGGTGCAGTATCTCTTTAAGGACAAGCGGCAGCATATTATTACTGTCTCATTAAGAACTGCACGCGACGCGTCTAATATACACGGCACGCATTTGACAAGCAGATTTTCTCTGTTTGCTTTCACTTTAGACATAACCAACTTTGTTTATGTAAACCTTGTGTGTATTTGACAGTATCAGCGCAATAAGACTCGAAAGATTAGTCCAGTATGCAGGCGCTGTTACAGGCTTTTAGTTCCTGTGAGCGTCGGGTGGGTGTACGCGCTCAGAAAAGCGGATGTTAGAACAGCGCATCAGCACGTGAATGACATGTTTACCTAGCAAGACTTTGACGCACATGCAAATAATGAACTTTTGTGAATTGCGGTGTCCCGTGAGTGTACTCTGCCTCTGCGTTTACATGTGATGTGATGTGAATGTACGTCGCGTTGTACAGTATGTTGAGATGAAGGCGCCAGAATTGAACTGATACAATGCACGATACTATGATTTTTCTTCAAAAGCAGATCGTGGAGACATTTTAATCGTCCACGATCAACAACCGTGAGACGCACACCCCTAGTTGGAAGTTTAAGTTGCTGGCGCTCATGCTTCGTTCGCGGTCTTCACGTGCGCATAGGAAACATGCCACCCTATCGGCAAGGCTCATCGGCAGAAATATTCATATCGGCCGATGCCGATGATGGTGATTTTAAGCTTTTATCGGCCGATACCGATGTTGTCCCGATATCATCGTGCATCCCTACAAAGAATCATACAATATACTGTCAGACTCGTTACATGAGAAATTATATAAAAAATTCACAGACAACATATGTTCACATTCATGGCACAATTCAAACGGGATCAGAAAATAATTATTTTCTCTCATTCACTTGCATTGACGCTTTATCAACCTAGAGGTCCACTTGGAGTTTTACGGATGGGCGGGACTTACCAGCTCTATAGGCAGGTACAGGTCATTGCACACATGTAACTATTTTTTAAAAATTGAGAACTTTGTAAGTGTACAGACCTTTAATAAGAAGATATTTTATAAAGGCAGTCCACTTCGTGTAAACAGACAGGAGCCATCTTTGGAAAACAGTCTCGACTAATCAAACCACGAACGACGTGCTAAGTGAGCTGAACTGTATGAAGTTCAGTGAACTTCTGAACTGTATGAATGGCGTTAGTGGTTTGATTTGTCGAGACTGTTTTCCAAAGATGGCTCCTGTCTGTATACACGAAGTGGACTGTCTTTATAAAATATCTTCTAATTAAACGGTCTGTACACTTACAAAGTTCTCAATGCTTCGTTTTGCATGTAGGGACCCTCATTATGTTACTGTGTTAGTGTGGGGCTATTTTGAGCCTTGTTAGTGGTATTAACTAGCGATTTCTTTTTACTTATTAAATGCCCCCATTACTAGCGTTATACGCTAAACTGTTTTTAGAGATAAAACTCTTAAATTCGATTATCATGAAAACAAATCTCAGAGAACGGTTGACTAGGTACCAATGTTTTATTAGACCAAAGGTTCATTTTGCGCCGGAGTTCTCCTTTAAGCCATGTTAGCGTTTCAGAACATCCACGAGGAGCCGGGTTTCGTGACATCATCGCGTACAATAGAAGTCCCATTTCATTGGCTAGGCAGCAACCAATAAAACGGCTCCTTTGAACACCCCCGCTCCCGCCCCCTTTTCTCTCTCGCCACTACTGAGTTGCAAGTGCAAAAGTTAGTTTTGCACCTCATATATCGCGAAAATAGTAGCAAAAGTCAAGGCGCGAAATTTTAACTTGCAGTGACAGATTTGAGAAGTTGCAAGTGCCAATTTGAGGTTGTACTGCGAATTTGAATGTTAGAAGAAGTGCAAATATATTTTACATGTTTGTGACTGTCATTGTATTTCTGTGAATGGCATTTTACACATTTGTGACTAGGCCTGCTTGTCTGCAGCTTCAAATTCAGAATAAAGGATTGTGACTATTGTCTGCGAGTGCAAATTTCAACATTCAACTTCAGATTTTTATTTTACAGGTTTTCACATTGGAGCTGTGAGTGTAAATGTTCACATACAAGTACGAATATTTATTGTACAAGTTCTCAAATTCACATCTACGTGCTCTCGAGTATTGCTACTCTTTTACCTTCATACGGGTCAACCTGTCACTCATTTGACATAAAGCAATAGCAAACAACAATAATCCATTCAATTTCATTGATCCATTACAAGGACAAAATCAAAAATAATATTAGCTGTAATATTAAAACCCTGTTAGAAATGTTTATAATTTGTGCAATTTCGTATTAACAATTAATAAAAATCAACAGTAAATAAACGAAATCATAAAAAAGGCAAAATTGGGAACAGAGTTTTTATTTGATTAAACTGCCACTTTGGGACTAAATGTTGGTTTAAGAAAGATATATAACACATCACTCTCTAATACTGAAGTCCTTGCACTGGCTCCCAGTCAGGTTCCGCGTTGATTTTAAAATCCTTATGCTCACATATAAGGCACTGCATGGTCTGGCCCCTCAGTATCTGTCTGCGCTTATAACTTTATATATGCGTCATTTGCTCTCCTCTCAAACTGGTTTACTGGCTGTTCCACAGACACGTTTGCGATCTGTAGGGGACAGGGCTTTCTCGTTCTATGTTCGTAGACTCTGGAACCCTTCTCATAGAGATACACAAAATGTAAGCATTTTTAGGTTCGCTTTTTTTTAACCGTTTTAAATATTTTGTTGTGTTTTTTTGTTACGCTTTGTTTCTCTATCTGTGTATTTTTTCCCTTGTATTTTTTATTGTGTAAAGTGCCTTGAGAAGGTGCTATATAAAATAAAGTTTATTATTATGTGCTTTTTACAATAACTTATTTTGTGTGATAAGATGGAATGAGATTTACTTGTCTTATGTGATGTACAAAGGGTGTAAATTATGTTATGTCACAATTAAGCATTGTTACATTTTTGTATTTCAACTCAGTAGGCTCCGAGACTCAGTCAGACGTTTCTATTAATACTCTCTATTACATTTTCATATTTTAATATTCTAATGTTCAAGTCTTGATGGACTTTGATGAGCATAATAATGTTGTCACATTGTCAACACTTGTTTTTTGCATTTATGAGACAAATTAACTTCATTCAACTTTCATTTATTAAATTATTTAATCGTTGTGTTCTTTTTCTCAGAATGATGTAAAACAAAACAATCAGTGACATAATTAAAATAACACTTTGCATGTTAAACATTGCAAAATTACTTCAATATTGCATAATATTTCTCCTTAAGACGTTTGTGATCATTACAGTAGAATTTTACAAGCAGTTTGTTTGTAACATAACCATACAGTGACAAACATAAGCAAGAGAGGTTTGTTATTTAAAAAGGGTCGTTGGACTCTTATAAAGTAACTAGTGCTAAAACTGCTTAGTTCTCTCTCATTTCTAAAACATCTTTCCCTTTTACACAACGACTTCATCAGGAGTAGTTTAAATACAGCGCATTTTAAAACAATAATAAATAGCCGGTATTTAAGACAAATCAAACCGTCTAGAACATAATGTGCCTACCATTTCAAAACAAGTAAATGAAGCTATTACATTCAAGGCATGAATTTATATGAGCTTGTAAGTAACTGCAGTGTGTTAAACCGTAGAACATTTTTAAGATATTTATGTTACTTTGGTCATTTTTTATAAAACCGGTCAACTTATAAGTGCTGCATTTTTTCTTTTTACCATATATTGATATAATCATTGTCCTGATCAAAACTGCACTGTACTGTTCCCTACCTTCAGCTCAGGACTGTTCTGAAAGTTTGCTTGGAAAGCTTTCTGACTAGTAGTGAACTAGCTTTTCTTGGAGGCTTTCAGCTTCTTTTTGATGTAATGTCCGACCAGGGCCTGAGGTCGCTGCTGGTAGTTTTTCAGGACGTCATGAGAGCTGGTCAGCTGGTCTCCTTTCAGTCTGTCCAGCAGTGTTACACACACAACCGCAGCTGAAAATACAGGAAAAAAGCTCTTTCGTATGATCAAATCTCAACCCATCCACAATAAACAACATTAGCAGACTTAATGTCTGACAAGAGGTCAAAAGCAGTCAGACTAACTGCAATAAAAGATCATAAACCTCTAGCACCCATTTCAAATGCATAAACGCCCATTTGTATGAACCTAAACAACCAATTGAATAACACAAACTCGTGCATGTATTACTCATTAACTTGAAGAAATGGTGTGTTAAAGATGACATACCTCGAAGATTGCTCAGTTTGCACATGGCGGCAAACACAGACGACTCCATCTCAATGTTACGAACCCCAGCGGCATAGGCTTCGGCAAGATATCTCTGTTTATCTTCTTCGCTGTACGAGCAAAAGGCCCCATCCAGCCGCGCTTGACCTGTACAAAGACAGAGCCTTCAAATACAGCAAACACCTCAGTGCAAAATTATCATAACATTCTATTATATTTAAGAGTGTATGTTAAAATAATTCTACCTTCGTAGAAGTCAAGGGTGCACATTGTGTTACCAAGGACGGTGTCAAACTCTGCAAGGTCTTTGCCACACTGAAGCAGCTCCTCTGCAAGTTCCCCGTCGAGTTCTGTGCTCCTGACCACTGGTTTACCCAGGATGATCTGCTCAAGGCGAGGCTGAAACACAGAATCCACCGACTGTTTGGTAATCAACACAGTCCCTGGCTTTAAACCTGACAAAAGACAGACAGAAAAACAGCTCTGCTCAAAGACAACTCTGAGACTCAGGAAATGATTCACAAAAATCCCCTGGTTTACAACACCAGGGTGAGGTTGGAGCTGATTTTGAAAGCATGAAAACACCTTTTTGATTAAGCAGTTCAATGGTAAAAGCAGTGTACCTATTCCACCTGACGTTCCGATGCGCACTACGGTGACATCAGTGCAGCGGGCATGGTACAGGAGCTTGATAAGCTCATGCAACATTATAGAGATTGATGGGATGCCCATGCCATGCTAGAACACAGAGAATATTCAATGTTAATATTCAGACAAACTTCATTTGCAATGACGTAAACCTCAATCGATCTGACAGAGCTCGATCTAAATTTAATTACCCCCTGACTGAAACGGATGGCGTAGACCTGAAAAAAAAATTAAGCATGTAAACGCCTGAATGTGATTTCTCAGTCGGATTCAAAGTGATCTTGTGAACATTCATTCCCATTAAAATGAGTGCATGTAAACATACTTAATCCTTCAGAAACCATTCTTATATGATGAGTCGGTCGGTGCTCAAGAAACATTTCTTAACATCATCACATTTCACATTATCATCTTCAGAACACAAATGAACATCTTTTTGATGAAATCTGAGAACTTTCAGTCCCTCCATAGATGGCTACGCAACTGACATTTTGACTTCAAAAAGTTCATAAAGAGATCGTAAAACTAATCCATATGAATTGAGCGGTTTAGTCCAAATTTTCGGAAGAGACACGATCGCTTTATATGATGAACAGATATAATTTAGGCTTTTATTCACATATAAACAGTAAACACTGATCAGCGAACATAAACAGAAGCTCAACCGAACCTGCTTGACATACAGGAACAAACCTCATTGGTTCTCTCACGACAAGCGAACATACTTGAGCTTCCGTTTATCATAACTGATGTGTGAGTTGACGAATAGTTATATGTGAATAAAAGCCTAAATTCAATCTGTTCATTATATAAAGCGATCATGTCCCTTCAGAAAATTTGGACTAAACCACTCAATCAATATGGATTAGTTTTACGATCTCTCTATGAACTTTTTGATTGTTACAAAGATGAATGAGTCTTACAGGTTTGGAATGACATGATGGTGAGTAATTAATGACAGAATTTTCATTTTTGGGTGAACTAAGCCTTTAATGCATCCTTGCTGAATAAGAAAAATAAAAATCTTACTGACCCCAAACTTTTGGAATAGTAGTGTACATATGGATGAGTTTGAGTTCACTCACACTGACAGACAGCACAGGTCCAACTTTGTACATAGCGTAGCGATCGGTTCCTGCACATATATTTGGATATTCTGCGTTGGGGTCTGAAAGCCCCAGTTCTTTGGCAATGTATTCAGTGAAAGACTTCATCCTCCATGGACTTCCCCCTACGCACACAAACTGAGACAAAAAGTCCAACCAAGTGAGTTAGACAGACCCAGATGATTCTGAAGGTGTCATGTTTTAGTGTGAAAAGGAAATAAAGTAAAGTTTACTTTGACATCTCCAAATATCGCTGCCAAGTCGTGAGTGGATGTTCCCAGGTTAAAATGGTAAAGGATGTCATCTGTCATGGAGTCTAAATGGGGATTGTTCACATATATAGACCTATTCAGGGAAAATACAAGTTTGACAGTTAGGTGTGAAACAGCATAGCTGTTGGTTATTGTCCTTAGTATTACGAAAACGGTTTAAAGTAACACTTTAACAACACACCATAACAATAACAGTCATTCAGGAGGACTATAACCCAGGGGTCGTGAGAAGAGCGGTGTGAAGAACATCGTTTCCGTTTTGTATCACTTCTCATAAAACTGAATGTAATTTAAACGACACATTTGTGTCCAGCGAATGAAATCTGTCATTTATCCAGTGCGCTGTACAATGCTTTGTTGCGTAAAGAATATGACATATTTACATAAATCATTCAATGGCATATCAAACGGAAGGGCTGAAAGCCCATGCATATAATAAAGAATAAGGACATAAATTAATACACTAACACGTTAGATTCATTCGTTACCTATCGCATGCTCCATTCTTCTCTTCATCCAGCGGCATTTTCAGTTTTCTCCTGAGATGGACACATCAACAGGTTACTTTTCCACGTAAAAAAATCGTCTGGTATAACTTAACGTTAACAACTCACGTTAAGTTAAATCTATGCAGAATGAAAACAGCATTCCTTAAAGAATAGAGTCTCAATGAAGCTCAGTGTTAGTTACCGTTAGATGTTTATAACGCCTCCTGTGTCCACCGAGAAGGTCACTTGATAAAATACCATCAGTTTCTGCCAGTTGCGGTTGCTGTAAAACATCCGGCTGTGACGCTGGTGTACGTGACGCCACCGGCACCGAACGAGAATCGTGTTGTTGTTTTTTTCACAAGCCCCGCCTCCTGCGGCAGGATGAGCTCGGATGAGGCAACGGATTTGACAGTTGAAAAGTCCTTAGGCTTGTTTGAGATGAGCAAAATATGCGCAGAACCGATCACCGGTGATCAGCGCGAGATGCATGCCGGTTAGAAATGTGTCCGAGAGCGGTCCGCCTTGCTCTGATGTCATGCAGACGTATGTCAAAAAACTCTCGCGACCGCAAGGCGCACGTGTCGGATTCTGCAGTCGCGCGCAGTTGCTCTCCACCGACTGCGCTGATCAAAAGCACGATGGGAAACGACTTGCTGACGACACAGCTTAATGCTCATTGGTTTAAACAACCGTGATGTATTGTTCTCTTTTAAAATGTTTGATTTTAAAGCTCTGATATCATGTTTTATGTGTAGAAATTATGTGTGGATATCCCCAAACTCTCTGACAGTGCATCTATGTGATGTAATGTTAAAAAAACAAAAAAAACACATAGGCCTATCTGTATTAAAGAAAAAATGATTCATAAACATGTAGGCCTATTTAAAATGGAATTAAATAAGTGCTTTGGGTGTCTTGTTCATTATATTTATTTTAATATTCAAGCAACAAAACTTAAATTACATCCAGTTTATTAGCAACACCATGCACGAGTGTGAAACCCGTGAATCCCGCGATATCCTCCTTTGATCTCACAGGTGTCTGATCCACTGCGAGAAGAGCGACCCGTCCGGCTTGCCTGCGCTTTTTTCACTCCTCCTCTCGACTACATTTCAGGCGAGGCAAGGCGCATCTCAAACAAGCCTCTTCATAGCAACGATCAGGATAAGGGCGGGGCCTCGATTCCATAGGCTGGATCAGCTGGATACTGACGTCATAACATTGGGCTACTTTTTAATTTTTAAGATGACCGTCACAAGTTGCTTAATTTACCTGCAATCACATTACATTAACTATAGATGTGTTACACTAACTTTATAATAATTATAATTTGTATTAATGTTTTTATTAATTTTGAACAATGGCACACGTTTAATGCTTTTGAAAGGAGTCTCCTTTGCTCATCAAGCCTGCATTTATTTGATCAAAATACAGAAGAAGAAAAAATGTGAAATATTACAATTTAAAATAATGGTTTTCTATTTTAATATACTTTGAAATGTAATTTATTTCTGTGATGCAAAGCTGAATTTTCAGCATCATTAAATTAGTCTTCACAGTCACATGATCCTTCAGAAATCATTCTAATATGCTGATTTAAAAAAAAAAAAAAAAAAAAGAAAGTAGAACAGTATTTATTTAGAATAAAACCTTTTGTAACTATACACTACCATTCAAAAGTTTGAGGTCAGTTACATTTTAAAGAAATTAAAACTTATTTAGCAACGATGTGTTAAATTGATAAAAAAAAATGATAGTAAAGATTTCCATTTTGAATAAATGCTGTTCTTTTTTACTTTTTATTCACAGGGTTATCACAGGTTCCAAAAAATATTAAGCAGCACAACTGTTTCCAACATTGATAATAAATCAATCAGCATATTAGAATGATTTCTGAAGGATCATGTGACACTGAAGACTGGAGTAATGATGCTGAAACTTCAGCTTTGCATCAAAGAAATTAATTATATTTTAAAGTATATTACACTATAAAACAACTATTTTAAATTGTAATAATATTTGAAAATATTAAATTGTTTTCTGTATTTTTTTTTGATCAAATAAAATGCAGGCTTGATGAGCCTTTTCAAAAACATTAAAATAGTAATATATACAGTCGTGCTCAGAATTTAAGGTAACCCTGGTAAATATGATCAAAACTGTAAAAAATAAATCTGCATCGTTTACCCTTTTGATCTTTCATTCAAAAAATTGCCAAAAATCGAACCTTAAATTGAAGTAAAAGAATTGAAAGTGGGGGGGGGGGGGGGGGGGGGGGGGGGGGGGGGGGGAGTGTCACATTATGAAATAAATGTTTTTCTCCAAAACACGTTGGCCACAATTATTCACACCCCTAGAATTTTTTACAAGTAAAATATCTCTGAAGTATATTCCCATTAATGTTTACCTTTTTTAGCACACCAGGACGACTAGGAACATGAAATTGTCCAGCCATGACTTCTTGTTTCACAGGAGTTTAAATATGAGGAAACACAAAGGCCAAATTCCCTTAATCATCCATTACAATGAGTAAAACCAAAGAATATAGTTCTGATGTGCATCAAAAGATTGTTGAGCTTCACAAAATAGAAAGTGGCTGTAAGAAAATAGCTAAAGACTTGAAAATCCCCATTTTGACCATTAGGGCAATAATTAAGAAGTTCCAATCAACTAAAGATGTTATGAATCTGCCAGAAAGAGGACGTGTGTCTATATTGCCTTAATACACGGTGAGGAGGAAAGTGGCCAAAGACTCTTCAAGGATCACAGATGGAGAATTGCAGAGATTAGTTGAGTCTTTGGGGTCAGAAAGCCTATAAAACAATTTTTTTTTAAATCAAACAACCCCTCCATCACCACATGTTGTTTGGGAGGGTTTCAAGAAAAATCTTCCTCACTCATCCAAGAACAAACTCCAGCAAATTCAGTTGTCAGACACGACTGGAACTTCAAACGGCACAGGCTTCTGTGGTCAGTTGAAACTAAAAAAAGAGCTTTTTGGCAGCAAACACGCTAGATGGGTTTGGTGCACACAAGGATAAAAAGTACCCCATGTGTACAATTTAATAAACCGTTGGATCTTTAATGTTGTGGGCATATTTTTCTGCTGGAGGTCCTGGACTTCTTGTTCAGATACATGGCATTGTGGATTCTATCAAATATCAACAGATAAAAAAATCAAAACCTGACGGCTTCTGCTAGAAATCTTATAATGGGCCGTGGTTGGATCTTCCACCAGGACAGTGATCCAAAACAAACATCAGAAATCAACACAAAAAATTGTTACGGAGCACAAAATGAAGCTTCTGCCATGACCGTCCCAGTTCCCTGACCTGATGAGTGGAGTGAACAGGAGAGAAGCACCACCAACATGGATCTGGGAATCTGAAGGATCTGGAGAGAATGGTCTCTGATCTCTTGTCAGTTGTTCTCCAAACTCATCAGGCATTATAAGAGAAAACTCAGAGCTGTTATCTTGGCAAAAGGAGATTGCAAAAAGTATTTAATAAAAGGGTGCCAATAATTGTGCCCAACGTGTTTTGGAGAAAAACATTTATTTCATGTGATTTCCCTCCCACTTTTAGGGGTGGAACGGTACACAGAAGTCACGGTTCGGTTCATACCTCGGTTCAGACATCACGGTTCGGTACGATTTCGGTACAATGGAGTGAAAAGCAAAGCAAAAATGCAGAAGGCATTTTTATAAATGTCTTAAACCTTGTATTTTTTTAAATAAGTTTTATTAATAAAGGCATAGAACCAGTTTATTTGTAGTGCACTGACAGTAGTTTTATATAATTAGTTTATTAATTAAATTATTAAAAAGGCGAAAACCTTGAGATATGTTTGGTAATTGTACCTGAATGAATTTAAAATTAATTTGCTATTTCAGATCAAGATATTTGTTTTCCTTCATTTTAATTAACTAACTTTATTCTCATCTGAATTATAAATAATTGATTTCCGTATAAAATAATACTACCATAAAAACTTTTGTTAACAGTTGTAGGTTACAGTTTGACAAGAGTTTAGAGTGTGACAAAAGCACAATGTTGTGTTTTATTGCCAGTGTACACAAATATAAGTAAACAATTTGCAGTTTTAATGATGTCCTGTATGAAAAAAATGACGGAGTATGTTTTTACGTTTCCACTGTTCGATCGCCCGTGCCTCTCTCTCTCACACACACACACACACACACACACACACAAACTGTTCATCGCGCGATTCGCGCCCGCGCCTCTCTCTCTCTCTCGCACGCGCGCGCACACACACACACTGTTCATCGCGCGATTCGCGCCCGCGCCTCTCTCTCTCTCGCGCGCGCGCACACACACACACACACACACTGTTCATCGCGCGATTCGCGCCCGCGCCTCTCTCTCTCTCGCACGCGCGCGCACACACACACACACTGTTCGATCGCGCCTCTCTCTCTCGCACACACACACACACTGTTCATCGCGCCTCTCTCTCTCTCTCTCGCGCGCACACAGACACACACACTCCTGCATTGCAATCTTGATCGCAGCCTGTTCATTGCTGCGTTAACAGTCACACCAAAAGCGAATAGAGCGAAATTTATCGCTATTTAAGAGTTTTGTTTTTTTATTTGTACCGTGTATTCTGCGTGCAAATTCGTGCACCGAACCGTGACGCCCGTACCGTTTCGGTTCAATACGAATACATGTACCGTTCCACCCCTACCCACTTTCAATTCTTTTTCTTCAATTTACGGTTAGATTTTTGGCAATTTTTTGAATGAAAGATCAAAATGATAAACGATGCAGATTTATTTTTTACAGACAGTTGTGATCATATTTACCAGGGCTGCCATTAATTCTGAGCACGACTGTATATATATATATTTATATATTACACATACACACACATATTGTATATATAAAATGCAATGAATTCAATAAAACAAAGCAGAACAGCAACTAAAACATGTTCTTTTATTGAATGTAATGAATTTAGTGGAATAAATCCAATCTCACTCTCAAATCCAATTTCAAGTTAAGACAATGAGTTAACAGATTACAGTGAGATACAAAAAAAACAAATATTGCCTCTGCCCAGATGTGCAAATCATGGGGGGGGTAATCCTTGCATAAGATCCAGAGTGGTTGATTATTTTACCATTTTTAGCAACCCCTAATAAGACAATATTATAATACTGAAAGGGCTACAGTACTGTAACAACCACTTATTCTGTGCTCTAATCCACTTTACAGCAATGAGTTAAATAAATTTCAAACATAGGCATATGTAAACAAAAGAGATCTATTTTCGAGTGTCATGCTTGCAAAAAAAGAGAAAATAACTTACTGTACCTTAAAAAAAAAGCTTATTACCCATCCACAGGCTCAATAATTGTCAAAAGATAGTGGCAGTTCTGTTTTACTTGCCATAATGTTCAGTGTTAATACAATTAAGCAAAGTGAACACATTCCCAATCTGACGTACGAATTTGCTAGAAGTCAAACTATAAAGTGCACTTCAATCTTAAACAATTCAAGTCCAAATCTCCACAATAATTAAATTGACACAGCAGATCATGAAACTAGACTAGTAACACAACCAACATTAGGCAAGGATCAAAAGCCTGAGTTCAACATCACCACCGTCTGATAAGTTAAAATAAAAGACTATGGTCAAGAAAGGACAAAGAGTGAGTTTAAAACAACAAATTAGGATGTGGAATCTTTTGCAAGGATCAAGGCATCAGTCCTGTTAGTAGTATCATTTAACACTGTACTGTGGACTGGTTAGGAACAAGCATTGCAACACCTACATAGAATACAAATGTGTTCTTTTTTCTATACAAAACCTCAGGTGATTTGACCTTTTATAACAATGAAAGTTATTAAATTAACTTGTGGTCATTTTTTTTTTTACACTTTCCACTTTGGCCCATATGCAGTGCAGTTTTAGACCATTGTATAAAAAGACTAAGAAATTCCACATCAGGCAGCCCTGTGTAAAGAAATGGAAATAGATAAACTGAAGTGAAAACGTTAATATGCAACACACAAAATACTCATTTCAACTCTTGCATTGGTTGTGATATTAGTTTGATGTCTTCACTTACAAGTCTTCGTCGTCACTGTTGTTGTTATTGTAGTTGGTGATGAAGTATCTGGGCACGTCATTGGTCCTCTAGATCGGGTGAAAAGATGATAATCGGAAGTTGTGCTATGCATTTTCATTATCACACACACCTATAAAAATCGAATCAAATCTGTGGATAACTCACTCCATTCTCCAAAACGATTGGATGTTCTGGTAAAAACTCAGGTTTCTTCTTAGCCATCGGACAACTTGCCATCTTGATGAGGAAGTCCCGAGTGTAGCAAATTCTTTCGGCTACAGTAAAAATAATTTTTAAAAAGTATTATAAGATCTACTTTAATAAAAATGAAAAGTATTTTACCTGTACTCTATATGATCATCATCCCACTGTTTTACTTCTAATTCCAGATATAGTCATCTCCCTAATACTTCTATAAAGGTTATACACTCTTAAAAATAAAGGCTTTTGCACCAGAGGAACGGTTTCATAGTTCTTATAACTATTGGCAGAAGTACCAGCTTTTTGGTTTGTTCACCCCGCAGGAACTGAGAACAATATAAGTTATAGGAACGCCTTTCAAGAGGTACTCGCTGCAGAGTCAAATGACGTCCAGCTCCACCTCTCTGGACGTCTAATGTGGTGGAGGGATAGAGTAGTGAATAGGGTTAGGGTCTGGTTGGATATTCTGGCTCCACCCATTAGACCCAAATTACATTCGCTCCTCCTCGCTGGATGTCTAGCGAGGGGGAGCTAGACGTAAGCTCCACCCATTGGACTCAATTAGATCCTTCAGAGTAGGGTTCATCCCAGCAAAATAGGAACTTCCAGTGACGCAAGTACACGCTGATTGGCCAAACGCATACTATACAAAACACTGGGATCTGCCATTTTTAAAAAGACGTGTAAACACAGTTTACATATACTTACTTCACAAACTAACTCCAAGAACATGGAAAACAGTGACAGATAGACTGTAAGTCCAGGTACTCATCAACCTTTACACTAGTTGTAGAATGCCGGCCTTAAATGACGTCGCTGTCAGCTGGTTTACATTTCAGATTTCCAACTGGCGGTGCAAATGCAACAAGGAAAATAGGCCCAGGAGAATATTTAGTTCTCTGCCCTGCTCTGGTGGATAGTTCCTACAACTACCCAGTGCGAAAGCCGCTAGTGATGCCATATAAGAACCACTTTGGGTTCCCCAAATAATCTTTCATTAAATGGTACTTAAAATAGTGTGACATTTTAAATGATCTAAAGAACCTTTTTCTGCTATAAAGAACTTTCTGTGTAATTAAAAGGCTCCATAGAAGTAACATTTTTCCATTGGACCATAAATCCCAAATAGAGCACCTTTATTTTGAAGAGTGAGAGGTGGACACATGCCTTTCTTCTTTGGTTGAGGACTTTGAAGATGCAGGATTTCATAGAAATGCTCCACTTTAATAATGTTGTCCTGTCAACAGTAAAAACAGTTACCTGACAGAAAAATACACTCTTTCAGAGAAATTAGATAAGAAAAAGAAGAGGCGAGCAGCTACAATTAAAATCCAAAACATGACAATATTATCTTAGGACAATAAAATTGGACTTACTGGCTTAATCTCAGCACAGCTTTGAGGCACTAGAAGTGAGATATCCAAAGCAGCATACAAACACACCAACACACACAGAAAACAATACATAAGAAATCAAAATTGGCATCAAATGAAACAGTGACACAGTGTTTTGCATTTTTAAGAATCAAACTTAGTGAGAACATTCACATTTTGAACCTTGACGGCGCAGTGGTCTTGCTGGTTCCAGATTTTTTACAATCCTCTTGTCCATTCTTCTGCTTAAGGACAAACATTTCAGCATATTAATGTGTGACAAACATGCATGTGTTTTCGTTTGCATTTTCATCAATTTCCATTGACAAGAAAAATCTGGGAAATTTCCAACTCCACAGGGATGGACGAGATCAACTAGAATCAGCAAAACATTTTACTTTTCAAATTATTGTCTAAAAACATTATAGTATTAAAGTTCCAAATGTTTACTCAAATGTCAGTTTTCTTCCCACAAAGACCCCTCCCCCTACTTTTAAGGATCAAGTCTGAGTAAAACTGGAAAAATAAGCTCATAAGTTTATATGACTTTATCAGAATATAATTTTTATGCCCTTGTGAAGTCAATTAGATCGGTTAACATGCTATTTGGATTGCATTCATGTTGTTTAGGCTAGCCTATATTTAAATGCAAAAATTCAAGATGCCCATAATATTGGTTATTTGTAACTTAGATCACCAATAGCTGTTTTCTTGGCTTCTGTTATCACGGTTTAACTGTGTATTATCTTGATTCACACTTTGGCAAGTAAGACATTACAACTGAGGCAGATAACGTTAATCACTAACGTTAATCTAGTAAAGTTAGTGCAAAGTGATGCATTCAGATCTGTTGTTGCATTTTTAGTAACGTTAATGCAAATACAAAAACCCCTGGAAAAGTTATGAGGATATATTAGTCTACATATTGGTAGATAAGCTACCAAACGCAAATCCACACCTTTAATGTTTTATTCGGTTTTAATTAAGTTTTAATATTTCACACGACGCATAAGTCATGATAAATACTTTTTTAAAACCATCGAAGTGTCCTGCAGAACTGTAAAAACTAGAACGGCGCATACCGTTGTTAAATAAAACCGACATACGTGTAAAATATTAAAAAATAAAGGTGGCGTGAACTTTATCATCTGACTCAATCGGCATCAACGGTGCTGCTAGCTGCTAGCCACCATGACTGCGAACTTTTCCCTTGATAATCATTTTTTTTCCTCTCCACATAACATCTTTAGGATTGACAAAAATATAAAAGAATGTCACAACACAATCCGTCTAAAATAAACGAGTAAATATAATATTGGCAACTTACATGTTGTTCTCACTGTAGCGTCCAGCCTCAGTCACCGCGCTGTCTGTCTCTCTCTGTCATTTCCAAATTCATTCCCCCTGAGCTCGTGACTCCATCTGTGCGTTCATATCACTCTGAACTCACCCAACATCACATAGGCTACAGAAAATAATAATATTAATAATTACTGTGCTTATCCACATCTTTGATTGTCAGCGAGTTTTGCAACAAAAAAAAGGAAAAGAAAAAGAAAACAAAGTTTGTTTTATTTTAATACTTCGGTCGGCCCAAAAAAAATATGATATGCAATTATGCATAAAAATGATCTTGTACACCCACTGATTTAGGTATAAATTAATCCTCGCGGAAAGGTTTTGAGTTATGATTTGGTCATGAGGTTTATTTGCATTCACTAAGCATTCGGGCAGGTAAACTGTCTAAAAGGCAAGTTCTTCATTGAACTAGTAGGCTAAGCTACCTGATTCTTGGTCTGGTGAACTCTGGTAAGAGCCCAAAAACACTGGTTCCATGGTCTGTTGTTCAAGTCACTTAACTTCTTTAACAGTGTTGCCAGTTTGTTTAGTTGGAAGCCCTAAGGCTTTGACTGCCAACCTGCTGAACAAACTTTTCTAACTAGTTTTGAGAAACAAAGGCTTATTGTTTCCCCTTTTCACCTGTGCACCAATTTCTCACCCGGACCTTTGCTTTAGGTTTACTTGACTATGCACAAAACATTTGCACTGGCCATTGTGACCCAATAGCATGACCTCAATACCAACCTGTTGCTTGTGCACTTGTTTTCTGCAACTCTGTCAATACCTGACGATAGAAATCACATTGATGCACATAGGCCTAGCACAGGGGTGTCCAAACTCGGTCCTGGAGGGCCACCGTCCTGCAGAGTTTAGCTCCAACCCCAATTAAACGCACCTGAAACAGCTAATCAAGGTCTTAATTAGCTGTTGAAGGTCATTAGGCATGCTAAAAACTTAGGTGTGTTGAGGCAAGTTGGAACTAAACTCTGCAGGACAGTGGCCCTCCAGGACCGAGTTTGGACACCCCTGGCCTACCACGTTCTTTGCGTAAAAAATATTAAATCTCTCAATTTAACTCCTATAATTTATGGCTTTTTGGTTGCACCCTACATGTGACAATATGACCATTGTCTTTAGTGTAGGGCAGGCTATTACATGATTTTTGCACCCTTTTCACGCATGGTGTCCCAAACTCTTACTTCAAAATTATTACTAACCTTCTACAGATTTTGCATTGCCTTCCTTTTTCCTTTTTTAAGGATAACCCACTTCTACCATATAGTGTTTGTTTTGTTTTTTCACAGGATCCGTTGTGCTGCAGTTCCCTCTAGTGGCCTCTTCTTTTTCATTATATGAGTATGAAAAGCCGGGTTGTATTTGACTGAGTGCTGTTAAAATTGCTGTCAACTGCGGTTTGAATTACCTGGGAAAATGGCCCCATGACAATGGGCTACAGTTTGTAAGGCAAAATGAAAAAAAAAAAAAAAGCCTAAATGAATGCTGATAAACAGTTTCACCATCTATATTGTTTGTGAACAGCATGCTGTGAAAAAACTAAATGGAATAAGTATAATATCATTATACAATATAAATAGGCATATACATATAATTAATTAAATACTGATTCAGTTGCTTAAAATAGACAATTGATGTTGTGATGCTTAATGCTGCATGGTACGCCTACAGAAACCTAGTTATGTGCATTTTCAATTATTTCACATTATTAGTCAGTAATCATGTGAAATAATGCAAGATCAGTATGGCATTAAAACACATTTTATAGGCTGCATGCAAAAATCAGAACATTAGTCCATGCTTTTTCTAAAAATGTTCCTTCAAATTCCTTTTCTTTTTTCTATAAATGTTCCTTAAATTTACTTCATCGCATCAACAAATGTTATGAGACCTTTGAAACATGAAATAATAATAATAAATATATAATTATAGATTATGTAGTTTAGCTGTTGCCATAAAATAAAGCTTTATACATTTGTTTGATTCAGATGGAACCAGATTTTTTCCTATATCCACCTTAGTTTTTCCACACAAAATTAAACTATTTCCTGTGAATCTTTTAGACTTATGATTCATTAAACTAGAAGAATAACAAAGTGCCCTAAACGGTGAAACTATTTGCACTACAGTGTGTATTAAGATGAGTTCAAATATGATTGCAAATACCAGTTTGGTGTCTCGAACACTGCAATGGACTTTTTTTGTACAGCTAAAATAACTGGAAGCAGCTGGCACCGGAAGCCTTGCACATCTCAAGGTGAAAATGGCCGTATCCATGCTTGTGTTAAAAAATGTGGATAGATCAGGGGTAGCCAACCCTTCTCCTAAGGCTATCATCCTGAACTTGCTAATCAAGGGCTGCATCCGAAATTACACACTTCCCAATGGTAGGCAAAAACAGTAGGCCTATGTGACAAAAGTATAGTATGTCTGAATTCACAGGACAAAAAGTACTTAGTTGACCTACTATTTCCGGCGAGATTCTGAAGTGCACATACGATGGACACTTTACCTCATGAAGCCACTGGAGAGGACGCAACTGATGGTGATAGGTCATATGACAGTTAAGGTTACATTCATACTACACTCATTCAAAATAACTTACTTTTTTAGCGGTCTAAAAATTACTTGGCTACCCCTAATAGGAACAAACTAAGAGAGCAAGCGCTTTCAGATGCAGTCTATGTGTTCAGGATCACTTGTTAATAACAGGCAAGTGAGTTGGAGCAGGGTTAAAACTGAAGTCTGCAGAAAGGTAGCCCTCCAGCTGCTGGGTTGACCACCCTAGACTATGGATTATATTGGTAATCAAGTCATTTTACAATTATAATTCAGACTTAATGAAAATGCATATTATTATTACTGCATTGCAAATTAAACTATACCAACCGTGAATAATAAACCCACTGTGGACCACCACAAAAAAGAAAACACACTTAGAAAGAAATCAGAAGAACAAGCTGATGTCTTTAATAGCATTGGACATGAAATGACAGTTTTTATGGATGTATGAGGAAATTGACAATCTCACAATGTTAAGAAGGATCTTTTAAATCTGCTTTTATCTGAAAACCACAGCACATTTAACAGCACAAATAATACTGAGTCTAGATACTGTTACTGGCATGCATACAAATGCATAATTTCCGAATAGTCAAGATAAGGTATGAATCTAAATTAAAGCAGTATTTCAAAAAAAGTAAAAGAAAACATGTCGGCACTTGTCAAATCACTGAAAATGCACATACAACTTAAAAGAGAAAGAAAACGCACAAGTTTAATCAATATTGTAGCCCAAAAGCATATCTAATCAAACACAATCTGAATCTTCCTGGTGCCAATTGGTCTTCCATTTAATTCTTGAAGAGCAGTGAGCGCCTCCCTGTAGGATTCGAACACTACGGTTGCAGCACGCCTGGGAGCTCCATTTCTGTCATACTGCAATGAAGCAGATCCTGGAATCAATCTGTATCCATAGAAGAAATCATAAATCTCATCAATCCTTATCTGAGATGGTAGATTGAGCAATTTAAGACCAGTCGGACCATCAAGTTGTTGGTCAGGTGATCCGTAAGGTTGACTTCCATTACCATCCAGCCCGGGCCCAAATGCATTATTCCGGCCAAAATTAGGCTCAAAGCGATCATGACCTCCATAATCCTGGCGCAAATTAGGCTGCATCTCACAATCATCTCGAGGCATCTGGGTGTTCGAAAAACGAGGACCATCATTCAAAATTTCGTTCCTTTCTTGTGAGCTAACCGTCAACTGCTCATTCACACCAAAATTCTGCATCTGGGCCATCGTTATGCACTTAAGCATGACCTCGGATCCAAGAAACCTCTGTCCGTTTAGGGACTGTGCCGTCATGGCTTCCTTCTCAGACTGGAAGATCACCAACGCCTCACCGAGCCCAGCTCCTCTTTCGTCATGCAATAAGACAACCCTATCCTCTGAAAGTGGAAATCCATGAAAAAAGTCCATGATCTCCACCTTGCGAACATCAAACGGGAGATTGCGTACGTAGACACACCTCAACTGAGAGTCAGGAGTGTTTCGTTGAGGCTGGGGCACTTCAGCTGATCGTCTCGACCCTTTCACCTCATCTCTCTCGTCAATGGACGATTCCAACAAGGTGACCATTTTCTCCTTGGAGATGGGTGACACGTACACTACCTTATGCAGCAACAATTCCTTATTATGAGCCAAGCCAGCACAATAGTCTGTGAGATTTCTAAACACCACAACAGCCGATTTGGTCTTATCATCCTTTTTTTGGGCAAAGATAATAATCTGGTCATCCTTCAAAGTAACCGGATGAAGAAACATCCTCAAATCCCTCTTTTCAACCACATGAGGCAAGTTCTCAAACATGACACAGTATTCTTCGTGAGGGGGTGAGCGTGATCTAGACCTGAAGGAAATGGGAGATCGAGATCTCGTTCGCTCTAAGGACGGTGTTTCCCGAATATCCTGTCTGGGGACACCTCCTGCTGCCAGCCACTGCTCCTCGGAGCATCTTGATAGTTGTATATACCGTGCCCCCATGTATAGTCGATCCCTTTTCAGACCTTCGATTACATCCTCTTTGGAAGCCAAGCGCACAATACTTTGTCCATTGAACGTTCCTCGGGGGTTTCTCAAAAACAGAACATCTTCAATCTTTATCCCACTGAAAAATGTATGGACGTCATCCTTTGTTGCAGAGAATGGCATCCCTGTCAATTTTAAGTAAAGATCCGCTCTCTCTAGCACTTCTGCTTCTCTCTGGTGTCGTATCTCACTGAATGAAGATGGAGAGGGCCTGTTCCTTGTGTCTTGATGATCCGGCCTTCGTACATCTACTCTTGGGTCTTTATTGAATGGCAGAGGACCTCGTTCCGCAGAAGGTCTTTTGGCACCCTCCTTGTACATTCCCCTGCCTTTTAACTCAGACCTTCTAGTGCTTTCCTCGAGAACACTCTGCATTTCTGACTTGCTACTCAGGAGCAAGTTGACAGGAGAGCCCTTAATGCAGCCCCCTGAGCGCGCCATCGCTCGTCTCGCATCTTCATCAGATGCAAATATTATAAAAGCTTCCTCAAGCTCCCCACCAATTATATGAACCCCACCATCAGGGATTCTGAGCCCAGTGAAGAAATTGCGAATGTCCTCAGAACCAGCCGTGATTCTGAGTCCCTGTAATCGGATGACCACAGCCATGATGGAGCACACACAACAGCACCTGCAGACAAAAGGGGTACATATAATAGCGTTATCGCTGACACAACCATTGCCTCCATTTAACAATATTCAAAAGAAATCCCAACTATCATTTTCAAACCGAGGTTAAACCACAAAATTAGGAGAAACAAACCTCTCACGGCCAATAAATATAGCTAACAACAATAACAACCAGTTTGCAGCAAGTAATAACGTGCTTCTGATCCAGAAAACCAAGATAACGTGCCTCGGATTAACAGGAAAGACTCGTTTTCCAACCTTTGACATCGTTCTTTCAGCTTCCGCATGCAAATGTGCAAGTAATATGAACATTCACAAATACAGCTTATCAGCTGACCGCACTATCAAGAGAGAAACCTCATAAAAAGTGTATAAAAGTAACAAGAAATTACAAATTTCACTGCTAGCATCCATACATACACATATTGCAGGTACTTAACTGTAAAATACTTTGTCCTTTTAAATTCTGTTAGCTACTGTTTTATAATATCCACAATTTCCAACAGAAACCGATCAACAGCAGACAATTGATTTCATCAACTTAAAAATAACAAGGCACTTAACATGAAGCTCAACACCCACTTACAAACTGCACAGCCATCTAACCAAATAACAAAACAACCGCCCAATACATTGCACACACAATTCCACTTCGCTTGTGTGCAAACTGTGAATTATAAATGCTTTTAAATCAGTGGTTCTCAAGCAGGGGCCCAGGCCCACAAGGGGGCCTCAGCAAAGAGGAAATTGTACCATTCATTCAGAGAGGGGAACGTGATCGGCAAAGGACCACGGGCTAAAAAAGAAAAAAGTTTGACTCAAGAAGGGAATGGATGCACCGAAATTATCGGCCGAAAATGGCTTTTCTGGTTTTTGGCCGAAAGAGAAAAATGGCCAAAAATATATGCCGCACCGCCCCTCAGTGTTCAGCGCCCGGGTTTCACTCTTGCTCTAGCCGTTATCACTGCGCAGTGTGGCGCTCTTCTCAATATTCCGCCATATGCATGCTCATCGGAAAAGCAAAGTCCAAATAACGCGCCAACATGAAATTTCTATTTGCAATAGCCCTACTGTGCTTTAACGTGTGGTATAGCCATTCTGGGGAAAGCTGGTAAAATGACGCCACCCTCTCGTTCACTGATCCACTTCTCGCTATGCTCTTCTCACATGCTCTGATAACAATTGCTTTGTATGAATATACATTATTTGGATAATTAGTAAAAAAATAAATCTGATTATGTTGCATAGAACTGGATAAAGAATAATACATTGATATTAAATATAAATATATTTTAGTCCAATTTTAGAGTAACTTTTTTTTTTATAAAAGTGTGATTATTTTATTGGCTTGCCTTTTTTTAATTCGGTATCATTAATTGTTGAATTTTATTAAAAAGTCTTATATTCATAAAATTATACAAAAAAAAGCCAATTTAAAAAGCATTCGTTTTCAGCCATGTGCATCCAGAACTTTCGTCCCAGAATTTTCATTTCAGTGCATCCCTAGATTTAAGTCATTACAGCAGAATAATTTAAAGAAATATCAGCCAACACTGATTTGCGTAATAAGAGTGAGAACTACTGTTTTAAATGCGAACTATGAGATTAAGAAATGCAATACCCTCCAGCAAACTTGCCATTTTATTGCCAATAAAACACAAAGCTCACACCACATTTACATCTCTTAAGTATCCAGGAAAAATCATTTTCTATAAACTTCTCTATTAGAAAAAAGTCAATTTGAGACTGTCAATTCCCGATGTCACAGAGCCCATCCACTTGGAACAGTAAGCATGTCCTATTTTCAGTTGTAATACTCTTCAAATAAAAGAAAGAGGTCTTTTTACAATTCGACTTCAAAACCAAGCTTCCCATTTCGCTGCACTTCTTTATGTAACCAACACAAGGCTGAGGGCGCATTTTCACACACCCACAAAAAAAAACAGTGTCTGTACATGGCTTCCGCTTTCTCATCTGGTCCGTGGTGCATAAAATCCCCTCTTTAATTTCAAACGATTTTATAATAACACTGGCGACAATTACAAACTTATTTTCGAAGAGTAGACCTCTGTAGTGTCCCTCGTGCTTTCTATTTGTGTTGAACCGCGAACTCTGTGCTTTCAGATTCAAAACTGCGCCGAATCAAACGGCTAACATTCACGAGCGTCGTCGAATTCAGCCGAACCAACCAACCCAACTGTTTTAATAAGCACAATATAGCTACGTTAATACACAATGGCGAACACACGGAACACACATATAAGACATAAAGAGCAACGTCAATTCCGTCATAACAAGAAAAAACATTGGAGTAAACAAAGAGTGCAGCAGCTGTCTTCCGTAGTATCGGCAATGCTAACGTTAAACGTGAGAGGCCCAGAATGTGAAGCGCACAAAATTGATCAAACTTACACAAAACAAAGATATCAATCCTTTCCAAATATAAAGGAATGCGAAACTAATGTCGATCTGCGGTGTCGTATATCCTATTCCAACCGTGACTAAGCAACAATTTCGTTGTTTGTGATATCTGACGCAAGGACGAACCGAAAGAAACTAGAGCATCCGTATCTCCTCCAACGCCATCTGTAAAACTACGGAAACCTGGAGGCGCTGAACACAAAAACTCTAACGAGAGACACAATAGACGCCAGTCTGATCATTCTATCTAGAATATCTCCAATATCTTCAACGACCCATTTCCTATGAATAAATTATACCACTCAAAAGGGATATACAAAATTGGACTCAAACAAATATTGATTTGAGCTCTATAAAGTGTAATGTGGTGGTGTAACAACCAAATAATGACCTTGACTTTTTTAAAATAAATAATGAAACCGTATGCCAAATTGCTTACATATACTTACGATTATTTAATTTTCTTTTCTTTTTTAAATTTCTTACACAACCTAGAAGTTTTGACTAGCTAATATTATCAACTATTGACTATGTTAATATTACTATATTTTTAAATATTACACATTTAAAAAATATGCTTTGATGACAATGGAAATTCTCCTTTTAGGGACATATACACAGATTCTGTGGGTTCCTACTTGCAAGATACAAGGCCATGACCATGTCTTAAAAATGGGGGATAGTGACCTGTGACATATTATGTTGAATATCAAGGTTTTTTTTTTGTGTGTATGTTTGTTAATGAGGGATTTCTGTGCACATTTATATATTATTTTTAATTTTGAAGTGAAAAGGAAAAAATAGACCTTTACGGTAAGATCGGCTAGTAGTGGTGCCATCTATTTAGATTCCATCTATGGGCTGTATTTAAATCATAGAATAATTGTAAATTTCAGATGAATCTCTTTTACAGCTGGGATTTGGCTTTGTCTGTTTTGGTCAATTGTTCAATTAAATGTCAAACCACAATTTTAAATAGAATAGTTGATTCAGTATTTAATTACTAGGGGTGTAACAATATATCGCAATACAAAAATGCAACAATATGTATTGTGTATAGTTCACCCAATTACTGTGTGAGTTTTAGTGTCAGTAGCCTATATAATGTTGAATATACATAATAATGCAACGGGGGAATATTTGTGGGTCCTGATAATGCCAAATGTCATATGCTACCAGTAAAAAGTGGCCACCATTATTTTAAATATAGTCAGTGAAAGAGTGCACGCGTATTTGTCTAAAATAATTTACAGCTTCAGAATCATGAATATTTGTATTCTGGTGTCACTATTGTCGTGCATTGGGTTATCAGCACCAAGTCCAAGCCTATTCATTTCCACCCCCAATGTAATACCAAATTTAGCATTTTAATCAACAGTACATTTTTTCCTTTGTCTTGGAGTATCGCAAAAATATTGTATCGTGAGTTCAGTACCATGAAATGTCTCGAATCGTGACATGAGGGTATCGTTACACCCCTATTAATTACATATTATATTGATTCTGCAAAAGTTCTTGACCCTGCTTAGATACTTGTTTCACGGTTGGTATAACGACAACAACCAAATGACGCCTGTAATCTAGAAATGTACAAACAACCTGATTTCAGAATAGTCCTGTGAGCAGGCAGATCCCTGTAACTGACATACAACAAAGGGTTACTGATTCAGAGGTCCATTGAACACAATGATGCCCTCATTTTAACCTCTGTGAGGCTTTAGACATGATAAAGGGGTTGTCCTGGTTACCATGGCCAGCTGCCAACACTTCCTAAATAATCATACTAAAGCCTGGTGCTGAGATACCATATTCACAAATAAATAAAATAATAGAAAATCAGGGAAAAGGTAGCATAGATAAAACACACTGGAATTAACTGAAAAAAGAAAATACAGTAAATGAATATAAAAAAAAACCTGTGGTGAATTTTGAAGTGTTCTCACTAAAGACAAACACACCAAACAAAATATGTTTAGACAGACAAGGCCATTTGAAGATAACAACAAAACATCAGACCTGTAGAAGAGAGAACATGTACAGAATTACAAACAATTAATCAAGTATGGGACTTTTGAAGACAAGAAAGAGACATGCACAGTACAAGATAGACTAGGCAGGGCTATTTCCACTACGAGGCTCCACCTGGGACTGTCAGGATGTTTCCCACTGGAAACTCATCACAAATTGCCTCATGAAGGACTGAACAGTGAGATAAAGCAGACACGGATAACCAACACACTTTACATTATGTACCCCGATCAGCAAGGCTTGTACATCATCACCAAACCAAACACCATGTTATTACAAAATAATCATGCTACTAATTGTTTTTATATATATATATTTTTATATTTTTATCAGCCCAAATATTTTTACATTTCAGGTGAAATTGGTAATGAAGTTACTAAATCAAAATGTTTAAGACATGCCTTTATTTGAAGAGCCAATGTCCATACCTGTGGCTTGAGATGTCTGTTAGTAATTCTGTGTGAGAATATCTGCCTTTAATTGTTTTATTAGTAACTAAACTAACTGAGTGAATTGTCTACCACAGAAAACATCAAACACAACAGCTATTGTGCAATTAGACATTTAGTTAAAAATTACCTACCAGTATCTGTGGCATCACTATGCAAAGCATTTGACAATTTATATAGGCTACACTGAATGTCTTTTAAAATACTTTGTATATAGTCTGAGTGCAATGATAAACCATACAGGTTTAACTTTAATTGGATTATTTTGAAGACTGGCAAAAATGACAAGGAATGGTTCAAAACAAGATCACTGGAAGGGCTTTTCATAAAACCATACACAATATATTATAAATAAAATATTTTATTTAGACACTGCTGAATACAATAGATAGAGAAATTCCTGGAAAATACTAGTTTGGAGAAAGGTTAGCATTTCCAAAGCTTTTATCTGCATCCATATAAACCACTAGCTGTGTAACATTGATTTCTTAAAACAATTTATATTTCAGATATTTTTTATACATGGATTTCTTTATATATATTATTGTATTTAGTATTTTATGTTACTAATACTTATTTTTTAATTACTAGTAGTTGGTGATCTAATAGTGACTGGTATTCAACTAGTCACTAGTATTATCCATATTCCTTTGCTACTAGTAGGAAGAGATATTAGAAATGGAAATAGTAACAAAGAAACAAGTACTAACGGTAGGTGAGTCAAGATAAAGTGAAAAAAGCATCAGCAACAACTTAAGCATTTACCAGTCTGAAGTGAATAATTGATATCTGGACCACAGTTCAAATATAGCAAAATTAGTCATTTGTTACAAGTAATAAAACTGAATAGTCATTTGCTATTATTTGGAAAGTGAGTAGTAGCAAAGTAATACACACAAGTATATTGATCAGATAGCCTACTGCTATATTTATTACTTTGCTACAAGTCACTTTCCCAATAGTGACAAATGGGCCTATTCAGTGAAATTAAATTGAAAAATATGGACTACTTACTACTAGAACTAGTAACATTAAAATCGATTCTATTTTGTTTTAAAGAATAAATGTTTAAACTGATTGCCGTATACAACTTGGCAATTTTCCTCCGAATTTCACATTTCCAGTTTAACCCCTGATAATACTGAGGATGCTGAACTGACTTCTTGGGGATCCCACACCATTGAAGGCCTATACGGGTTCCATGTTGTCTGACCAAAAGCATTGCACTAAACAGTCTTTAGCTGAGCCTGTCGCACGTTCCCTTACCATTAAACTATTCGATTCCACGTTATCTAGTAATAGAAGATTTCATAGCTTAACAAAGGCCCCAAGACCGTCGACTAGGATCGTCAACAGTCCCTCTGGACAGCAGAGACATCAGTCGACCTTCTTCTTCACTGCATGAGCTGTGGCTCGCAACGAGAGAGGAGGAGCCGCGAGCCCCGCGACCGGTGCATCGCATATTATCGACTCCGCTAGATCATCTGAGGCTGCCCTACTACACCATGAAACAAAAAGGATGGTGCCTTCCGCAACCCGCTTCGTACTGATAAACCAGTACAGAGGAGTCGTCTAATGAGTATTTATTTGATCACCGTGGACCAAGCATTAAACGCAAGCATTTGGATCTAGCTGCATGCTATCTAACACCAGGCGAATTGTCGCCCCGTGTGGATTTGACGTCTGTGTTCTGTTGGATGTTTAGGGAGAAAACAAGTGAAAGAAACTGCCATCATTGTCCTACAAGATGGAGCGCCTGACCGAACTGGAGAAGTATACGAAGTAAGTACATTACAGCTGCTGTGCGTTTGTTTTGGCACACACAACATAACCAATGAAAACCTACATGCACTACAGATTTTAACCAGTTAGCCATTGAGCTATCTAGTTAGTCCTTTTGCTGCTAACTCGCTAACCCAACGCTCACGGTGACCCGTTTTCATGGTTTCAGAGCATAAACCATAGGTCAAACTGTACATTTTGGTTTGTAGAGAAAAGGACATTGTAGATAACCCGTTAAGCTCAACAAATAGATTCGGTTATGAAAAATAAACAATCATAGACGTTTCAAATGGGTGACCATAGCGACAGTTCACTGTGTAGTTAGCCAGCGAGCCGAGGAAGCTAACGTTAACGTTACTGTATGCAGGGACCGATCAAAAATGTCACTAAGATTATATAAAATGTGATTTTCTTTGTTTCTAGAAATTAACAGAATGTCTAAAATATTATTAGACAATACTGTATATCGTATGTCCTGGATACACAAGTGAAAATAGATGCAGCGAGGCCTCCGTGTAGGCCTCATATCCACGAGGTAAAATTTTTTTTAGCTCCCCGGGGTTCAGTGCCAGCTCACTGACATTATGAAAAAGACAGTCATTGCTGGAGTTACTGGTAACGAACCAAAGGCCGTGTTGTTAGAGAACCTGTGTTGTTCGCACTGTTTCGTTATGGTCACCCACAGCAATAATTGAACTGAGGCATCTGTAGACACAATATTGCTATGTTGTGCAAACAAATGTCACCCACATGCGCTCCTCTGTAGTATTTAAGCATTTATTTGGCCACTTTGCCACAACATGTCGATTTATAATCCTTTATTATATGATCAACGATCAAGTTATAATTTTTAGACATAATAAACGACATAATCCATTGTTACTCATTGATGTCAGAACCCATACTGTGCGTCCAGGGC